TGTTGGGCAATTTCATTATGGGCTCCTCCTAATATAATCACAATTAGTTCTTTATTCACAATGTTTTCGTTCCCTCCTATAAATAACAAAAAAGTAGCAAAGTTTCATTTGAGATTATTTTTTCTTTTGTTATACTTTCCAACCACTTAATTACCTCAGACCAGAAAATTTCCACTCTTGGGCATGTTAACCACATATGTTCCAAAGTTCCTTTATTCCTTTATTTCTGTACTTCCTCCAACACATGTCTGATATTCTTTTATTTATTCTATTTAATTTTACAGGATATAAGTGCCATCTGCGCACTACCTTTAACACTGTTTCTTTAGCTTGAGATGAAAATGAATTGTAAGGTTGAGGTCCTTATTCTTTTCCATGTGTTTTCTAATATTTCAGTTTTTATGTTTGTCTCCCAAACTATCTTGGATCCCATATTGTCTTCAAATTGTTCCTCTATAATACTTTTATAAATTACTGAAATTAACCCTGTTTTCCTTTTATTCCCTATCTATTATATATTTCTCTATTTCTGTTAATGGTCTATTTGAGCCCGGTGTTTTATGCAGTTGAGTTGCCAAATTTCTGATTTGGGTTATCTGATACCAATTAGTTGCTATATACAGTACCTAGTTTTCTCCTGGAGCTGTTCAATTGTAATAGGTTTTCCTTGTACAGTATAAACAAGTCTCTTATTCTGTACATTCCTCTTTCTTTCCATTGTTTAAATTGTGCATATTTATCTTGAAATTTAAATTTACGGTATTCTAATATTGGACATAATGTAGATATAGGGGGAGTGAAGTTTATCATATATTTCCTCCATATCTGGAGTAATTCTTTAGTAAAAGGATTCCGCATTTGTTTCTCATTTGTCAAGATTCTTTCTTTATATAACTATATGTCCAATGACCTTCCTTGTTGTTCTCTCTCCATTCTTGCCCATTCAGGAGTCTCGCAATCTTGTATAAGTTTGATTACTTGAGCCATTTGAAAAGCTTCATAATATTTTAGTAACTATGGTATTGCTAGCCCTCCATTTCTACTTGGGCATACTTAACTGCGTTTATAAATCTCAGGGATTTACTTTCCCCTGCAATAAATTTTTCCAATATGTTTTGCCATTGTTTTATCTTTTTCATTTCCAATTTGTAGAGGAATATTTTGAAACAGAAATAGAAGTTTTGGTAGGATATGAGCTTTTCCTATTTCAGTTCTTCCCAATAATATTAGATTTAATCTTTCATCTTTTTATTTTTTCCTTTATAGAACTAAATACTTTTTATAGTTCCTATAGACTAGTTGCCTTATATTTTTGTTATCCAAATCCCCAAATATTTGAAACTTGAATAACATAGGTCTAAACCTGTT